TAATAGCAATTGATGGTGGTTGACTGAGATGATTGAAGGACATTCCTGACTTTGTACCTTGATTCACTTTTAATTCTTTAACACATACTGTAGATTTCCAAGAGTAGTTTCATATGCTTCTTTATATTAGCATGTTTGGAAATGCTTTTAAGTATTTATAAGTTGTGAATCTCACAAAGTATAGGTAATAAGTGAATAATATTGTGAGGTTTAGAATAAAAAATATGCTTAACCAATTTAAACTGTAATTTGAACTATTTTGCCAAACCTGCTCATAATCAATCCAGCCTTTTTGAAAAGTTGTAAAAAGTTTATGTTGAGAAAAACACATTATAGATATCAGTTATACACACAAATTTATACACCAAAAATCATATATCAATAAATTGCCCTCTATTGATGGAAATTATCCTGGTTGGGGTGAAAAGCTATTATATCAATAAGAAAGCCACCGATCATTGACGTATTAGTTTATTTAGGAAAGGATTTTAAAAGCATACATCCATTGCTAAAAAATTAATATCTTCGTGAATATGATAGGTTGAGTAAAAATTCAATTAGATTCAGTCAATTTCAATTTTCAACGTTCCAGTAATAAGATTTGCGATTGTTCGACAAAATATTTGATAAAAGTTCATGAAATGTGTAAAAAATTGATAAAAGATGTGAGTCCAATAAAATGTGGATTAAAATTAATTGTTGATTTTGATCTTAATTTTTTAGTAAGGTTTTGAGCTATTCCAAACAAACATCTAAGAAAAAAGTAATAATATACGAGGCAAGATTTTTATATCATCACAATTAACAACCTTTATCATACAAGTGGAGAGAAATACATAGGGATATATACAAATTAGAACCAAAACAAACTAGTGATGTTTAACTGTAAACTTGGTTAGATAATGTTGTTTAACGACAGAAGTGATTCCTAGGTCCATTGCCCAAACTTTCTCAAATAGGATTTCAGATTTATTGTCCTTATTTCGTTAATCATCGCTTCTCAAATAATTATTTTTCAATTCATCTTCATGTGTCTAGATCAAGAAACTAACTTGTAAATCTTGACCTCTTTCTTCAAGACACGTACGTAAATAAGAACGCATCATTGGATTAAATAGAGAGTTAAATTTTATATTTTGAATATTTGAAGAGTCATAAATTTCAGTTTTCTATAGGAATCTGCACATGCATAACAGTTACAACCCACATGGATAAGAACCTAAAACAAGTAAGCTAAATTTAGTAACTCACCCATGATTTCTTCAACAGATGTTCCAAATTTCTTTCAACTGAATTATCGCTTTCTTTAAACCCTACACCCTTTTCTACATATAGAAGAAATGAAAAGCTTTTAAAAAATAAGAATCTTTACTAACTATTTAAACCACCGAAAAACTTCTTATTTCACGCTTTCTATTTTTAGTAAATTTAGCTATCTCTAATTCATTATAAATAGCAGCCACAAGTGTTCATACTTACTCACAAGTTATCACATCTTCTCCTGCGTTACATTCTGATCATAGGATAATTAATGGCTTCTTTTAGCAGAATAAGTTGTGTTTTTGGAGTTTTATTGTTCTTAGTTCTTGCTTCTGAAGCTAGGGTTCTGGGAACTGGAAATGCGGGGTTTGTTGCAACAAGGGATTCTCATTTTGTTCTCAATGGCTCGCCTTTTCTATTCAATGGATTCAATGCGTACTGGATGATGCATGTATCGGCCGATCCGGGCGAGAGGTACAAAGTCTCTGAGGTATTCAGAGATGCATCTGCTGTTGGTTTAACTGTTTGCAGAACTTGGGCTTTCAGCGATGGAGGTGATCGTGCACTACAAATATCTCCCGGGACATATGATGAACGTGTATTTCAGGTTGCTTAATTATTTTCAAAATTAATGTTAAGAAGTAATTTTTAATTATTAAATATTATGGACTTTGCATGAAATTCAGGGACTAGATTTTGTGATTTCTGAAGCAAGAAAATACGGGATTCGCCTGATATTGAGCTTCGTCAACAATTACAATGATTTCGGAGGAAAACTACAATATGCTCAATGGGCAAGAAATGCAGGAGCAAGGATTAACAGTGAAGATGATTTCTACACAAATCAAGTGCTTAAAAATTATTACAAGAACCATATTAGGGTGAGAAATTGAATTCAATTTTCTCTGCATGCACGTGTTCAAAATTTTAGTAATTTCTTCTTGTACGTTGCAGAAAATTGTTACAAGGTTCAACACCATCACCAAAATTACCTATAAGAACGATCCCACGATCATGGCATGGGAGCTCATGAATGAACCTCGCTGCCAAGCCGATTACTCTGGAAAAACCGTAAATGTAAGAATATTACACAATACAAGTCATTTGCATTTTCTTCTAGTAAATAATTAATGTTTCTAAAAGTTTCTTAAAATAACAGGGTTGGGTTCAAGATATGGCAACTTTTGTGAAGTCTCTTGATAAAAGACACTTGCTTGAGATTGGCATGGAAGGATTTTATGGAGACACAAAGCCAGAAAGGAAGCAAGTCAATCCAGGTTACCAAGTCGGGACGGATTTCATTAGCAACAACCTTATTAGAGAGATCGATTTCAGTACCATACATGCATATCCTGATATCTGGTAAGTTAATAATTTATTCTTTTATAATGTAATTTTGAAAGAATGAATCTAATTGAGACTAATATCTGTGACAAGGTTATCCGGAAAAAGTGACAATGAACAAATGGTTTTTATGGAAAAATGGATGTCGAGCCACCGGGATGATGCAAGAGGAATTTTGAAGAAGCCACTTGTCATAGCCGAATTCGGAAAATCTAGCAAAGATCCAGGATACAGTTTAACTGCGAGAGATTTATACATGGGCGATGTATACAGAGATATATACAGATTTGCAAGAACAGGAGGAACAATGAGTGGAAGTTTAGTTTGGCAACTTATGGCAGAAGGCATGGATTCATATCATGATGGATACGAAATTATCTTATCACAAAATCCATCAACTGCTGCAATTATGTCAAGGCAATCTCATGCCATGACAGATTTATCTCATTTGTTCGTTGGACCTCATCATACTCAGACTGCTAGAAAGTCTGCTCCATGATACAAGTTTGAATACTGCTATATGGAGTTGGTGACTGCAATAGTCGCTTTAGATGGCATTCTACGTGGCACTTTGTTATCTAAGGCGCTAATGCCTCAACAATAAACTGACATGCAGGACGACTGCTGCATTGGCTAATTATGAATTGCATTACTCAAATTCGTATCCTCATATGGTCTTCATTTATTTTAATGGAATAAAATTACGCATTGTTGTAGTTGGTAATTTGTAATTTGAGTGCTTTTATAATTAAAGAAAATGAAATTTATTTGTTTTATTTAGTGTTCTATCTCATGCATATATGCTCAAACCAAAATTTATTTATAATTCTAAGCAACATATTTGCATGAATGATATGAAGTCTAATTAAGTTAAAGAAGCAAACGTGTATTAATTACCCGTTAAATTAATCTGATTGCCATGTTATATGGTTTTTTAATGATAAATTTTTTTTTAAAAAAATGATGATTATTTCTTTGCTACTATATATTACTATACCACTTGATTTACCAATATACTCAAGATTTAGATCTTTTAATTAATTGATGATAAGTTAAAATTTTTGTATTTATCTATCTTTCATTTTTAAAGACAGACGCTATTATTTATTCAAGATACTATTTATTTTAGTGGGTTTTCGTGTTCTAGAGACAAACTTCAAGCTTGGACAAAACATTGAGTAAAATAAGAATGGAAAGAGCGTTAAGATGGTTGCATGTTGACTCATATCACACATGCAACACCGGAGCCACACAAGTGGATGAACAAAGGTGAAACCAAAGACAGATATAGTCTCATGCTCTCACTTAAAATTTTCATAAGTGCGTTCAAATTGTCGGGCCAACGAAAATTAAGAAGTTGTCATCCGACTTTGACTTAACTTGCAAAACATTCAGGGGTATAATGGGGATATTTTGCACAAAAGTCCTAGCCCTATAGTTTATATATAATGCCTCGGGCATTAAAGAGGTTAACACAATCTTAGATTTGAGAGAGGGAACAAATAATCGTGTAATTCGATAATGTACTAAACTTTCTAGTTAGGACAAATTGATGTAGTTTAGCTTTGATAGTTATATATTAAGTTCCATGTTTTGACTTTAAATATTCTTTTAAGTTGTTCTTAATTCTTTCAATTAATTAATCAAATAGTTGAATGATTGGTTAACTGTAATAATGTTGTTATTGTGATTCTCAACCCTATCGCTACATTATTTATTATGATACTGTGCACTTGGTACTATGAACAATTGTTAATTAGTTTATGGACATACAAGGGAATTTTGAGTTGTTATGTCATGAGATGCTAAGCTGTAAAAATGTAATAAAATTCAGCGTTAGTATTCACGGGAACCTAACAACTTTGACGTAATTATGCATGGTCGCGGGACCCACATTAACTGAAATGTCCCACACATGACACGTTCAGTTACCAATTGCCGGCTGCTGCTTCCAGAATTTCTGAATTTAGGGTGTGTTTGATTGACATGGAAAATATCACATAGAAAAGAAAACGTTTTCCATCTTTTGTGGAAAATAAAAACTACCTCTACCCAGGAAAAATATTTTCCTTAAAAACAAGGAAAATTAGGCATATTTTCAAAAGTTGGAAAATGTTTTCCATGGAAAAAATAGCAATCAAACACTCCATTAGTTTAATTGACATGGAAAATATCATGTACAAAAGAAAATATTTTACATTTTTTATGGAAAATAAAAACCACATCTATCAAAGGAAATTATTTTCCTTAAAAACAAGGAAAATTAAGTATATTTTCAAAAGTTGAAAAATATTTTTCATGAAAAAAAGTAGCAATCAAACACTCCAAATAAAAATTTGGGAGAAAACTGATATTTTCTTAAAAACACACCCTAATTTTTTTGCCCTCCCAGTCAGTTCTTCAACTTTCTTTATTTATACTAATTTTTGCATTTCCCATTAAAACCAACCAACTTTTCTTCTCGGCCATTTCTCTAGGAAAAGTTGTCGTTAGTCCTCAATCTAATATTCCAAATTCCAATATCATTTTAATACCAGATTTTTAGATTGAAATCGTTAACATTAATATATTTTCAGTTTTCTATATATTGTAAATCCACCTAGTGCTATTGAGTTAAAAGTTTGATGTGAACAATGTCTAACTTATTACTAGAAAACAGTTTTGTTAATAAATGAAAACAGAAAACTTACCTACTATGAAATATTTTTTATTTTTCTCAAAATCTTTCTGTATTGGTCTCTTACCTCTCAATCTTACAAGCCAGAGCAAAGCGCAGTTCATCTTACTTACTGGTAGTCCAAATTAATCGTTTGGATCATGAAGCTAATGAATAACCGTTATGCTAGAATTATAAGAATTGGATCATATAGTGAATAATGAATTTTGATGGAGCTAGTGGATCATATTTCTTTTCTCTGAAATAAAATTTTCTTCTACTAAGTACGATTTTTGTTAATTTTTTTTTTTTTTTTTTTAAAGTCCGGTTTTAAGTGATTTTTAAGTATAGAAACCTAAATCAAACAATTTCTAAGAAGTTTGTTTTGGTTCAAATCAATGGTTTCGAACCATTATTTTGTTTGCTTTTATAGTTCGAAGGGATTTTTGTTTGGTCCTACTGCCAGTGACTTTATGTGCAAATATTTAGGCGATTGTTAGGAGGTTCCGGTGGACTCGAGAAGAAAATTGGCGGAAGGTTGCCAGTTAGAATGGAACAAATTGTGCAAGCCTAAACGGGCTGGTTGTTTGAGACATAGGGACCTGGAATTTTTTAACCAAGCCTAAAGGTGATTTCTACCGGTTGGGACGATTTCGAATTTCATATGTCACGATCTTCACTGTTTAAATGTTCCAACATCTAGCAGAAAATCTATATGGAGAGAACAAATTGGAATTGCACCACCAAAAGGTCGAATTTGGAAGAATCAGGTTTAGACTTATTTGCCTTTTTCTCTTGTGCTAACAAGAAATATTGAATGTGTATTTATAGATTTCTGCAAATCAGAATTCCATTAGGATTAGTAAACCCCAACGTGGTTCGCCCGAGAGACATTTAAATCAAATTCTTTGACTTCAGCACGTAATAACAAGACCAATTATAAGTTCATCCAAAGTATTTAACTGATATATGTAGGATAATTTAATGCTTTTAAATCATTGGATCTTTTATGTTAAATCATCAAGAAATACAAGAATTAAAGCGGAAGCGTACCTGAATCAGACATGCTTAATGCAATAATGAATTCCGCGGTATAGTCTTCCAAATCTACACGCAGTCTCCTTTTCCTCTATGTGATGGGATGCAGAAGAGAATGAATAATACGTGCGTGTAATTTGGGGACCATAACCTATTTATATAGCAACGCCCTTTGACCTAATTCGGCCCATCATGGAATTAGGATTTGGGCCCGGTCTCTACACATATGTAAACTCACACTTTAATTGGATGCAGAAGAGACTGAATAATACGTGCGTGTGATTTGGGGACCATAATCTATTTATATAGCGACACCCTTTGACCTAATTCGGCCCATCATGAAATTAGGACTTGGGTCCGGTCTCTACACATATGTAAACCCACACTTTAATTGGATACATTAAAACCCAAAATCGAAGCCTTATTAAATCACTTTAATTGGGTTCAACCGAATTCGATAGCCTTTAATTTAACACACAATTATTCAAAAAATCCTTACAATCTCCCACTTGGATTATATGTGTCACCTTATAATTGTGCATTAAACATAACCTTATGAGTACTCAGAATTTTGCTATCATTACCGAATGTATCCTCAAACAATCCCGTCCATCAATCATATCAATATAGGATCAAAGCAGCTTTCACTACTTTCACGTAGCTAAACCTATCAATGGTCGCGTATATCAACATAATCGAATCACATGGATCAAGAATGGATGTGTAGCATGAAAATTACATGTAATGTGATCTGTAACATGCCTATTTCCAACTAGTCCATCTTAATACCTTAGTGAGATCATTTTAAACAAGTTCAGAGATAATAAACCAAATAACTTTATAACTGAAAATAATTTTAACTTTAAACTGTATCCAAAATAACAGTACATGTGTCCAATATGAAAAGCAAAAATACAAATTCCCACTGAAACTAGATATCCTCAAGAGACACTATACCCATATGAGCAGTGTGCTCATGAAAGACCTTAGGTATCAATCCCTTAGTAAACGGATCCGCAACCATGAAGTTTGTCCCAATATGCTCTATTAATACCTGTCCACTTTGAATTCTTTTTTTAACAGTCAGGAACTTGATCTCTATATGTTTTGACTTTGTCGAGCTCCTGTTGTTATTAGAATACAGCACTGCTGATTTATTGTCACAAAATATCTTAAGTGGTCTTTCTATATTGTCCACAATGCGCAGCCCAGTAACAAAATTACGCAGCCATATTCCATGATTTGATGCCTCATAACACGTTATAAACTCCGCTGCCATGGTGGAAGTAGCTATGAGTGTCTGCTTAGCACTCTTCTATGAAATAGCACTTCCAGCAAGCAAGTAAATATAGCCTGAAGTGGATCTCCTACTATCTTGGCATCCCGCGAAATCGGAATCAGAATAACCGATGATCTCCAACTGATCCGATCTCCTGTATGTGAGTATGTAGTCTTTTGTTCTCTGTAAATAC